GCTTGGTCAAGAACACGGCTCGTGGGCGCTGCCTCAAGCGTCACAAGGGGCGCCTCGGGCGAAAAGACTCAGATCGTGCGGGCAAGCCAGAACGATGTTGAGCACGCACGCGCGGAAGGATCGACCACATCATGGCTACGGGCGCGCCGACCGGTAGCGTGGGCTGTCACCAGCGGTTCGAAGAGGAGCGCGGAAAAGCGTCGTGGGAAGCTCGAGCCTCGAAGGGCGTCGACGAGCGGCTGAAAAGACCGCCCACACGGCAGTGACAAAATTCGCAACGAAAGCAGAAGATGGTCGTACGTCTCGAGGTCGCCGCAGACGGGACAGACTTGGGCGTCATCGGCCAGAAAGTAGAGCCGGGAGCGGATCGCGACGGCGCCAAGCACCACACGGTACATGAAGTCGGCGTATCTTGGCAGGATGTGCTCGGGTTGGCGGTACTCGACGGCTGCAGCCACCATGGCCGGCGTGGCAAAGTGGTCGTCGGGGAGTTGCAGATATCTCGTGGGAAGGAGGCACTGGGCCGCGACGTCGTGTCGGCGTCGACAAGCGTGGCGAGTCGTAGCCGTAGCCAGCGGCATCACCGTGCCGGCAAAGCACATGCGCCACTTATCGCTCGTCCTTGCGCGGAAAACCTCTTCCACTGCTTGGAAACGGCCCTTCTCTACGACGATGTCGCCACGCCATACTCGGTCCACAAGTCGTCCGTTCGTGCCCTCTGGCCGATCTTACGCGCTCGCGTCTGGTATTGTCTTTGGCTCAAACGCAACAACCGTGTCTTCCGCTCGACGCTGACGCAACTTTCCGCTACCGCGCTCGCGATCCGAGCAGCTACTACCTCACGATTGCACATCCGGCACTTGGCTCGTCGCGCTGTGGTGCCATCTCTTGACGCGTCGCTGGTCGGTCTCCGCGACGACCCTTGGTGCGCACGCTACCTGGTCCTTCGCACAATCTCGAATCACGACCACTAACGCTCCTCGCTGACGCACCGGCCAGGCCTCACGAGCGCATTAGGAAGTCCACCATATCTTTATAATTGCATGTAATATAACTCAGTTCAACAACAACACAGTTCTCAGTCCGTCCCCACGGGCGGCCTTTTCCGACTCCGTGTTCCTTGCGCCATCCTTCTCACACCCAAACGCGTGCGACTGACGCTGTAGCGCAAAGATGCTTCTACACCGCACCGTCAGCATAAGAACATAGTGTAGGTCGCTCGCAACCTGGATAACGTGGGAAGGTATATATTACAATAAGAATAAGTTGTGGGCGCCTCTAAAAGAGGGCAAAGAGGATTGCACACTCGTCCTCGGTCAGCGCTGTCGAGTCGGCGGCCACGTTCAGCGGTGCCCATGCGTCGTCCAAGAGGGTACTGAGAAACTGGAGGTCCAAGACATTGGTGGTCGGCGGCGGCGACTGCAGCAGCGCGGCCTTTTGCGCGGCCCGGAGCAGCTTGCGCTTCTTGGCGTGGGTTTTTTGGACCTCGTTGGCCTTGTCGCGGTGGTAGTCGCAGAGCATGTGGAGGTCGCCGTTCTTCTTGGTCGTGCGCGGGTTATAGCACGCCTTGTACGTGTACTTGCACAGCATTGGGTTGTTGTTGTGCTTTGGCGAGATCATGTTTGTGTGCTAGTTGGGAGGAGAAAAGTTGAAATGTGACGGCCTCCGACGTTTCCGACAGCTTCCATTCCATCATCGCAGCGATAAGCATGTTCAGTCCAACTCTGTCCAAAACGAACGCCCTTGGTTGCTGTCCAACGTCAGACTTCGTATGGAGAATAATCCAATGGATTTATTCTTTGGCCGCTTATTGGTTGGTCACCGTACCGCGGACTTACACAGGTGTTACAAAGTTGGGTGGGATCGGCCTCATACGATCTCAGATCTCGACGATGCTGCAGACCCAAAGAGTATGCACGCACCGTGGCCGCAGCGGATGCCTCGCGCTCAGGCCTGTACTTTAGCACTCTACCCTGACCAAGGGTCTATCCAAGCGCAGTCAGGAAACAGTCGCCTTTGACGCTTACGTGAGTGTGCTGCATGGCGTCGTAAGAAGCCAGAACGCACCGCCATTACCTCATGGCAATGAGCCAATCAGACGCTTTGTTCGTTGCGATAGCCAATCACATGTCGTGTTTATGCCTGGCGTTGCGCGCGAAAGTTTCTGCCACCAACCCGCGAAGTCTCTGTGGACATGGAGACAATATACGACACACATCGCCATGGCTACCCTAGTAAGTGCACATTTAATCTTTATCTACTTGCAACAACTATGGAGGAAAGTCTTCGCTGCAAGTACACGTACAAGCCGTGCTTGAACCCGCGCACGACCAAGAAGAACGGCGACCTCCACATGCTCTGCGACTACCACCGCGACAAGGCCAACGAGGTCCAAAAAACCCACGCCAAGAAGCGCAAGATGCGGCGCGCCCTTGAGAACGCGTCGCCGCAGCTGGCGCCGACGAGCTTGACGATGGATGCAATTGAATTGGCCTACCTCGAAGCCATCCTGAACGCGCACGAGGCACCGTCGACGACAGCAACATCGTCGACATCGACGACGCACTTGACGGACGAAGAATATGCCATCCTATTTGAACTATTTTGATTTATAAACTATACATACATTCTTTGTAACAACGAAGATAACGCGAAACACGTTCATATATATATATACATGCATTTTGGAGCGTGCCGGGTGTATATGTATGTCGCTGTCGCAACAACGTGCTATTCCAACCGAGTGTGCTATTCCAACCCAACAACACGATAGAGTGATACTTTTGGTGTCTACGGCGATTCAACGAGTGGTGCTATGATGGTACCGGTTCGCAAATCAACGACAAATGAACGTGTAAAATTGTGGCAAAGTGAGTGATTGGCTATCACGCAATTTTGCGCTGCTGGAGTGGTTGCTGAGGGCTGTTGTTGCTACGGTGGCTGTTAGAGCCAGGATACTACTACAAGCAAACAAATACGCTTGTCTTGTAGGACGGCTCAAAAGGCACTGTAGTGGCTTGCCGTGCGTCCACTCCCTCGCAGGATTGTATAGGCGCTGGTAGCATTGATTTGCGCAGCTGCTTCTCGTAACATAATGTGTGGTTGCGGTTGGACATGGATCGAACACGCACAGCTTAATATGTCATTGGACATGCACTCGTGGTGTTGATAGATGAATCGCCAAGTGAATATATATTAGCTTTGCCTATTTGAATTATCGCCAGTAAATCCAGGGCTGCAGTCGTACGAGGCGCGTGCTTTTCGTATCCCAGCGCAGTTGGCACATGCGTCGTCGCGTCCGACTGCAAAATAAATTCTCGCGACTCCTATGGTCGACGACGATGGCTCCTCGTAGCGGTTAGTAGCGACATGGAGGACACGAGTCCAAGTCCGATTTACCCTCGACACATACTCCGTCAAGGCAGACAGAAGTGATGGGTTCGCGGCGATCAGCGTTTTATCTGGTTGAGTTGAGCCATGTCCAGCCAATACCAGCAAGTGTAGCCAAGAGTCAGCGTCGTCTGTGTGCATGGTGTAGATAGGATGATGTTTGATAGCGACCTTACGATAGTGATTCACCCTCTTGCAGCTGGTCTCATCCGGCACAACCTATCGTTCTATCCACAGCGCTGACCCTCATAGCCTTATAGCATCAGTCCGAACCTGCCTTCGTGGCATACGTAGCGGAATACAAGTGCTTGCTTTCTGGGAGATGGCTCTCCCCTCATTGCGTTGTTTGTGCACCGCGGACTCTGGCAGATCCGGAAACATGACAAATAGAAGTCGACAGAGCGCCAAGGAAATGTGAGAGCAAGGCAAAGTTGGGCTGGCGCGTCGAGAAGGGCGGTTGGCACCTTACCAAGCGTGACGACAAGGTGCAAAATGGCACATGAGAACTACCTCGGTGCGCTGCTGGAACGTTGAGCTGGCACCGATCAGTGAGACACGGGGCGTGGACCGCACGTAAGATCGACCTTTTGGTTGTTTGCTTCGTAGCTACCCGCTACCCAAACGAGCAATGTAAGCGCCAGGTGGAATGACACGCTGTGGACTCGCTAATATGTTTGTGGGTGCTCGAAGCGTCAGGCGGTTTAGCGTCCAAAGTGCAATGTGCGATGATGCAGAGCCACAATCGTCTGTGAGCGAACGATGCCGCCCAATCGCAAGCACCGGGTTTCATGGTTGCTCGCTGGTGCATACAATGGGTCCGTAGGTACAGAATGAGAGACGTCGTCGGACCATGGGGCTCCTTCCCACCGAACCAATTTTCGTACTATTGGTACTTGTGATGGCATCCAGTACGTTTAGGTTTGGACCCGAGCACATCTAGGACGCCTTTGCGACGTCGCCGGCGCCAGTATCCAGGCAAGTCATCGCACTCGACCAGTTCACCGATTCGTAACCTATTTGGTCTCGAGGTACAGTATACACACCGGGATCAGACCATGAAATAAGATTGTTTGATGTTTTTGAAGCTGGAAGACGCCGCGTCGTGGACCAAATGTGAGTAACTCGTTGACTTGCTCGGTTGATTAACCTCGAGATGCTCAGATGGTGTTGGTTGATTAACCTTCAGATGTTAGTTGATGAGCCTTCAGATGTCGGATGATAAACCTTCCTGATACCGTTCCACCCTGTTGAGGGCTGTCGAGATCACGCGTCCATGGAGGGTCGGACATGCGCCGTGGTACGCACGAGTTGCTTGATTGGTATTTCTTTCCATGAACGAGGCCCTACTAACTGGCTGGTCTGGGCACTTCGCAGTGAGGACCTCAAGAGGGCGAAGTTGACGACGGCGTAACGCATACGAGATTCCTAATGGCGACATCGCTGCAGCGACTGATTTGGGCCATGCTTTTTTACATAAGGTTTCATATCCAATCCCGCTGCTCGAAAAAGTCCGCGCCAAAACAAGGCGCTTTCAAGGCATGTGAACGTAGTGTTAAAGTTAGAAGGATAAGTCAGACGCCGATGACACCTGAAGTGTACAGCGATCGCGGGCTCTATTCGTCGTCGCTCTCGCCGCTCAGGAGTAGCTCGCAGAGGTATTGGAGTTCGTCTTCGTCGACGACCGACGCCAAGTCAAAGCCGTCGTCGGGGCCGGTAAAGTCGCTCGGTTCCATCGTCGCAAGCGCTTGGCGCATTTTTTTGTTGGCGGCATGGATCTTTTGGATCGCATTGGCACGGTCCCGGTGGAAGGCGCAGAGGAGGTGGAGCGCTCCGTTGCGCTTCATAACACGCTGGTTCGTGCACGGCTTGTACGTGTACTTGCAGAACGCGTCGTCGCTGGACATGGGCAAAAGGCGAATGGAAGGCGCTTGAAGCCACCGCACTAGCATTACGCACTAGCGAACTCGCGCGCAACTCGCAATCTCTGCCGTCGGCACGTGTGTCGTGCTTCGAATCGGAGGCCAAAATAATGATGCGCTGGCACTAACCCGTACTCTTTGCCCGTGCGTCCATCGTGGAAACGCCCATTTTTGATGAATTTCCAACGAAAATCCCGAAAAACGTCACGACATTGCAATAATATATCGACACGTACGACGGCGTCGAGGCGTGCCCTTCGACCGGGCCGCCGACGCAGTATTGGACATTTGGCAATTAAATACGGCAGATCTCGGCGGCTCAGGTGCACGGGAAGAGCGGGTCGATGTCGCGCTGAATGGCGAGAATCATGTCGTCCAGAAAAGCCCAGTCAAAGGTGTCGAGCATAACGTTGCCGACGTCTTCGACGTTGGAAATCGACGACCGGGCCTCGCTACGTCTTTGACGTTTCTTGGCCGCGTACGTTTTCTGGATCGCGTTGGCCTTGTTGCGGTGAAACTCGCAGAGGAGATGCAGCGTGCCATTGCGCTTGACCGACCGCGGATGTGTGCATGGCTTGTACGTGTACTTGCAGATCGATGTGGTTGCGGCTGCCATTCTCTTTTGTGCGGTCTCGTGGTGAATACAGGAATGGCTGCACGCATGGAGTGTTTACGACAACGAGTGCTCCGACCAAACTTGTGGCACTGGCGCGGCGCAGATGGGTCGTTGGGACAGCTCCATATGCCCGCAGACCCTCGCGCGACTTGTTCTTCTCGCACGACGTTCGCGGCACGTCTCAAAGCACGAGCTGTGGTGCGATCATCGGTCGACCGGAACGATAGCAGAGTCGTCCTACATGCAAGTAGTACTTCCGAACTAACTTGGAGTGCATTGAAAAGTGGGGCCAATCATCTGCATAGACACGCGGCCAAACTCTGGTGCAAACTCGACTTCATCGACTTCGTGGTCGAGGCAGCGTCTGTTGGTGGAGACTCAGGCAACGCGTTGGCTTTCTACGCACCAGCTGGCAAGGAAGTCGTGGCTGTCACAATGGACATCCTGGGACAGGTCATCTTGATAGAGACTCCACGCACGATGGCCGTGGCCCGCATCAGTTTGTGGCCCGCATCAGCTCCGGTCCGTGGACACATAGCACTGTACCGGTTCGTCGTCACCTACGTACCTGTACCTGCGCGGGCGTTCGAGACTTGGTCGACCAGCCCCTATCAGCTGCCCCTGTCCGCTATCGAGGCGCCAAGTGCTTCAACGTTGCGCCGAAATGTTGCTGCCGCTTGAAGCTACTTGAGCTGCACTTTACTATTCACCAAGTAATAAATGATGTAGTATTGGTACAGCGTTATCAAAAGCAATGCGTCCCTAACGTGTGCACGAGTAATATGCACCGCTGCGCTACCGGCACCGAAGGCTTCGCTCGAGCCCAAACAGAACGCAGCCGTCATGCGCCCGTTGCAGTTTAGACGCCAGTTGTTGATGACGAGACACTGCGAACGAGCGCTCGTCGCAGGCGCCAACAGCAGCTATTAATAGTTGGTGCTAGAGTTGGTGGCGAAGTTGGTGCCAGGTCCTATCCATTTAAATGGAAAAAAGTAAGTTCTAGAAGTTCGAAGCCTTTGCGGTTGGCTCGCAACTTGCGAGTCGGTGCCAGGCAGTGCGATGGAGTACGCACAATCTTGGGTGCGTGGCGAGAGCATGAACATTACGTTTTTGCGCATTTTGTATCGCACTGGTCTTATCGCCGATAAGACCAGTGCTATGTTGAAGTGCATCACGGAGTTGCAGATATAGTCTGTCTGCGACACAGGCCGTCTGCACGGTTGCAGACGACTGGTATGCAGCACGGACGGTTGGCTCTTCAGGTGAGCGCGAAGTGGCCGTTTATTCAAACAAGCAGACCTTGTCGTCCTTCGAAGCAACGCGAGGCAACTGCCTCTTGCTCTTCCCGAATGCACGCGCAGGATATGCTCGTACCGTACAGAGTAGCGTAAAAGTGTATGTAAATGTACTCGCAGTACTCGGATGGATCGGGTGCGTATAGCACTCTGCCGCACGACGCCCGAGTAGTCGATGCTTTTCCATATCGACTGCTCGGGCGTCGTGCTGCCAGAGTGCTCCCTGCTCTATGCATCGACGTACTAGTGACGACCGAAAACCAACGAGCGTTGGGTTTGACCGGCTCGTGTCGACGCACCCGCAGAGCCCCCGCAGCAGCGAGAATCGGTGTCTTATCCCTCTCGCTGCATTGCGACACATTCTGGCACTGCCCCGATACTCTCTGCTGCATGCCAGTAGAGCAACGTAGTAGGTATCCCTCTACGCTCCAGGGAAAGCTCACGGGCGAGTAGCCAGCTTCTCGGCGCGTATCGTTTGGAGCTCGTCGTCGTTGCCCGACCTTGATTAGATCTCCATCGAGTGCCCATCGACCAGTCAGTCCCATGCCGATCACTTAGGATGGTCCTGCTTGTTTTTGCAAACATTCACAAAATAGCTGACTGTGCGAAGGGTACAAGGGTGTCTAGGTATTAAATTAAATGGTGCTGTGCTTAGAGGCTGTAGCAGTCGAGGGGGTCGCTCAAAAAGTCACGAAAGACCGATTCGAGCACGGCAGCATGGTCCGACGGCTCAGCAAAGGCCATGGCCTCGATCGCACGCAAGTCGTCGGGCGAAAACGTGAGCTCGGGCACCGCTTGCCACGTCGTATCCGTCGACGTCGGCGACGCGGGCGCGAACGCTTCCATTTGGCGGAGGCGCTTCTTGGCTGCGTACGCCTGCTGGATGCGGTTGGCCTTGGTGCGGTGGAACTCGCAGAGGAGGTGGAGGGCGCCGTTGCGCTTGGTCGAGCGTGGGTGCGAGCACGGCTTGTACGTGTACTGGCAAAGCGCGAGGTCGGCCGATTGCTTGGAAGGCTTGCGGTGCATAGTTGTCAATAATCGGTAAGAGTGTGGAGACCACGGACAAATGGAAAATGAATGATCTTTGGAACTCACATCAAACTCTGGATTTGGTGGGGTTGGAATGGCGACCCATACGATAGAAGTACTCACAGCAGCTGCGAGGGGTTCATAATCACCGGCGCCGTGGGGACCATGCCCGAACTTGGCGCCGATGGCCAGCTGAAATTTGCCAGACGCATTTCAAATCTGATAGGCCTCGCAAGCTCAGGTTCCAATTCAGGTTCCAATTCAGGTTCCAATTCAAAGGGAATACTAGTACTGAGTATTGAGGACAGCAATCGTGGAGACAGCAAACTTATTGTCAGTCGTAGCGAGTATAAGTCGAGTTTGCTTCCCTAACCCAGTGCTGCGTGCAAAAACACGAAGGTGTGGCAGCCATGTAGCCGTTAAAAGAATAAATCGTGAGGATGCACCACGTTGGAAGAAGAAGAAGGAGTAGTCAGCCGTGCGATTCAGGCGCGAGCACTGCTTATTAGTAAAGAAAGTCGCATCGAGTTCACGTACAAGGTAGCGGGGATGCACGTACTACGTCGTTCCAGCGAAGGGCAACTCCACGACGACCGTACCGGTACTAATACGGGGTCATGCACCAGCGTAAACACGTCATATCCCCATCCCACGATTGGCCGTTCGCGCGCCACAGTGCGCGAGCCCCAAGTGCAACTTACATTTTAGACGCGTATGGCAACATCGTGGCCCACAGGTGCGTCTGTAGTTCGCGCACACTGACGCCACATGGTCAGTTGGGCTCAGTTCGCGGCCACCTTATAGTTACTAAACGACAACGTGAGCTAGGAATCCGACCATACAAAATACAAGCTTTGCTCGCTCGAAGCGCAAGCGCTTCCAGAATCGTCAACCGTGACCTTTACTGAGAAACCCGACCCACGATGGTGCCTTGTGACGTAACGTGAAAGATCTCGTCAGGAAATGCGGTTGCTTAGTGACCGCACGTGTCTCGCGCATCTGCCCCATCAGTCTCCATTACTACAGTACCGGTACCTTAGCGTGCACGATCCTAGCGTGCTGTACGGTGGCGATTCGAGCTGCGTCTGTACCATTTCAAGCATAAAACCCATATAATCTAAAACAATTTTATTGCACTTATATATTATCAAGCATGCTCGCAACGTCGTCCCACGACAGCTCGTTGCAAGTCCCTCTGGTGTCGTCGTTGTCGTGGTCGTCGAGCCATTCGCGCAGAAATTCAAGGTCGTCGAGGTCAAAGGTCGGGGCCGGGGGTGCATGCTGAATAGGGCGCAACTCGGTCGCGTCACGAAGTCGCTTGCGAGCAGCGTAGACCTTTTGAATCGCGTTGGCTTTGGTTCGATGAAACTCGCAGAAGGAGTGGAGCTGGCCATTCTTCTTCTTCGAGCGCGGGTGCGGGCACGTCTTGTACGTATACTGGCAGCGCTCCATCGCCAATAGGGGCACGGGTGGCAAATGGTAGAGTGATTTCAAAACGCTTTGGACGCTGGCGTGGAACGCGAAAATCATTTGAATATTTTCCTCTAGCTATAGCCGATCATTTGCCGCGCCTTCAAGACAAACAATATTTGTCACGAGCCAATTGAGGGTGGAATGGGGACGTGTCCGTCACATTTGCGGTCCACCGAGCGATCGAGGCGCGGCGTTTGTAGACGCTGGGGTCGAAAGCATTCTGCGAGGGTGGGAATGGTGCGATGATTTGTGCGACGAAATAAATAAAATAAGTGTGACGACTCGGCGATCCAACTACCGGTATTCATACACGAAAGTAAAACGATCGAGTTCAACACGATGCTGGTGCCCGCAGTCGAACACACAATCCAACCGAGGCCTCGTAAACAATTCAGTGTAAA